TGGGTTTATCACAGACAGATGTTATCATGATTGAAGCATGATTGGTCTGTTAATTTCACTTACATTGTGCATCATTACTGAATGGTGCATTTCTCTTACATAGTGTGCTTTTCACATATAAGGAATTGATTAAAGAGTTAACTACATGTAACAAGCCACAACAAGATTGTGTTTGTCATGGAATGGTAATGTTACAAACAATGAGTCAGATTCATAAATGTTTAGACTTAATCATTCAAACATGGTATGTATGAATGTACAGCTCAAATCTTTTTTTTTTCTTTAGTTGCTTATCAATGGAAAAAGTTGCCCTTGCCAAGACCAGATGATCCTCAGAGTAAAATCACTCCCTACCAGAGATACGGGCATACGGCAGTGGCATTCAATGACTGCGCCTATCTTTGGGGAGGAAGAAATGATAGTGATGGAGCTTGCAATATACTTTATTGCTATGACCCAAGTAAGACATTTTAACTGTCATTTAGCAATTTTAATCAAATGCATAGTTTCACCTGTAGATAATAAAGATTCATTTTTTGTCAGCTTTGTCTGGGGTTTTCAATCACTTGATAGTTTTTAGCAATAGTAACTCTACTTTGACAAAAGATGTTTTAGTAATGACTCAAGTTTTTCAATAGGGAAAAATTATCAATTTTTCCAATCCATAATTTTGGAATCATCAAAAATTATATTCTATATAGCTTTTTGGTGCATTTACCGCATAGAAGAAAACTACAAGGTAGCCTGCTTTTCCATTTTGTTGCAATTATTCAATGTGCATGTTTTAATTTAAAGAATTTATGACTTAAAAATACAGTATCTATAAAATTCACTATTTTTCCCATTGGAAAGAACAGTTTTTTTTTGTGTTTCAAAGGTCATACATATCAAATAGGTTTTTGAGGCACCAACAATATATTTTTAAAGAAATGATATGATTTGAAACCCAAAGCTTATTATGATATCATGCATGGGATGTATAACACATTAAGTATATGATTATTTAAGGTACTGGAAAGTGGTCAAAACCCAAAACCGGAGGAGAGACCCCAGGAGCTAGAGATGGCCATGCTGCCTGTGTCATAGGAAATAGAATGTACATTTTTGGAGGTTATGAAGAGGAGGTATAAATGTTTTATGTCCCGTCGCTATATGAATAATGTTATCATGCCAAATTAAATTAATAAATGGTTTGGAATGCACATTTTTTTTTTTGTATGAGATATTAAAGGGATAACTTTCCATATGAGATCCATGTTTCACAATAAATACATTGAAAACAACTCATAGAAATATAATAAATTCTATTTTACCACCAAAACAGCAGTTATTGCGATTGTTTTGGAATCCATGTTTGCCATTGGACCATGTGACTTCCATGGACGGCTACCCTTAATTTATAATAAGAGATTACTACAAAAAAAAAAAAAAAAAAAAACAGACTAACTTTGAATGGAAGATCAGGTTCTTTAACCATTGTTAAGTATGGGAAAATTGTCATGTACCCTCCAAAAATCCATTTTGTTGCCAAATTGAACAGTTGTTGTCCCTTTAAATCTGAGCATCCACTTTTCAGTACATTTTACGCTTTAGATTTCATCCATATAACTGACAAAGAAAGCAATACAAGGGAAACAATTACTGACACATTATACACTTTTGCATTTTGAATTGGTGACAATTTTAAAAACTGAAAAATGACAATTCACTTGAATAGGTGTCTCCAATATATATATTCCTTTATACTGACATTAGTCCCATAGTCTTGAGCATTGTTTTCAAGAGATGAATTTGCTGTCTGTGTGGTATATAACATTTTCTTGGAAGTAATCATAAAAAGCATTTTCTTGTTTTCTCAGTTAGCTAGCTGAAGAAGAAGTGGGTTAATTTTTTTTTTTTTTTTTTTTTTGCAGGTTTACAGATTCTCAAATGATATTCACTGCCTGGACTTGTCCACATTTATCTGGTCACTGTTGCACACATGGGTAAGTACATGTTGGTATAACTCGCAGGATACCGACACCAGATGATCTGGATGTGCTGTTTGATGCGTGCACGTGCTTTGTGCAGAGAGTTCTTGCAGATAGTGATTCCCCTCCTTTTTAACTTTGTAACCTTAAAGAAAATTTTCACTTAAAAGAGATTTTCAAAGGCTAAAAATTAGGTTATGGATTTTTGAGTATGATTAAGATGCACTGAGAATCCTAGAGCGCATTCACAGCAGTGGACTAACAGATCCACAGATGAAATATGTCTGAATCACTTGCATGCTTGTTGTATAATCCCTACAGGGAATCTGTTCAGTGTCTAATCGGGAATTAAGCGACAAGCTTTTTACCTGTATAAGAAAATTCACAATTAAGAGATTTTCATTTCTGAATAAAAATCTTCCTTGTATACTTTTCAAATTTTTTATGATTCAGCTCTGGGAACGGTTAATAAAATCTTTGATATTTCAGGGTACCCCAGCTCGCTGGCGAGACTTCCACTCAGCCACTGGCATTGGTCATTTTATGTATATATTTGGTGGCAGAGGAGATAGAGGAGGACCCTATCACACAAACAATGAAGTCTATTGTAATCAAATGCAAATATTTAATACTCAAGACAATACATGGTATGAGCCAAGTTGTACAGGAGACATTCCTTCACCTGGACGGAGGAGTCACTCAGCATGTGAGTTCAGGTTATAGGGGATGCGTCTGTGCATTGTCTACATACAAAAAAGTTTACTTCAAGCTATCTCATCCTGAAACATTTTTTTTTTTTTTTTTCACCAGTAAGTGATTGTTTTCAACAAGAAAAGAGGTAGCATCTGGTTAATTGCAAAAAAATAATACATGTATAACACAAAATGATGAGGGAATTCTTTTTTACTTATGGCATGAGAGATAACTTGATTAGCGTTAACATGGGGGGTTTCTCTCTTCATGATAAAAACTGTTGCAGATGATAAGTAACCAAATTTGACATTTCCTTCCAAAATTAGAATGGTGTATGTGCATGAGGTAAAATCAAAATGATACATAAATTATATCAGATTTTTTCACATTAACTCAAATTTGAGAAATTTCAATCTGCTGCATGTGAAGCAGAAACCCAAGGAATATGTTGGACTTTCTCAGTCTGTCACTTTGAAAATGCTGTTTACTTTTTCCTTCTCTATTTCTTTCAGTTGTATATAAAAATAAGCTGTATCTATTCGGTGGTTACAATGGTTTGGTAGATGAGCATTTTAGTGATCTGTACAAGTTTGATCCAGGTAAGTGTATTTTCATCTTTTTTAGTTTCACTAAGATACTCCTATATAGTACATGGCTGTAGATTTTTATGTACAGTTCAGTTTCTGTATATATTCTGATCATCATTAATTTTGGTGACGTTCACCCCAAAATTACCATGCTGTATTTTAGTATTACTTTCATTTTACAAAGGAAATTTATTTGATAAAAAGGCAGGTTGGGATCGAAAAATCAGCAAGATTGGATTTTTTTGCAAAAGTTATTGATTTTTTCCTTGTGACACACTGACACCTTTGGTTGGGGGTTTAAAGCACTCTACATTTGGAAACATGACCTAAATTGAGACTTGAAGACTGGGGTTGGCATTACTGTCTTGTCAGCCATCATTCAAGATGATCAAGTTTCACGGAAATTTGCATAAGAATTTGCAGGATTTTTTTGGAGAGTTTGGTCAGAAATAAGTGCTTTTTTAGTTTCCCTTCATTAAGGGTGAAGAAATATTCCATTAGTCAACAGTTAGACAGCAAACATTTTGGTAAATTACAGCAGTATTGCAGCTTCTGATATTATTCTGAAGAACACTGATATTCAGGTTTTAAATTTTGTTTTAAAATGATTACTGAGGTCATTATTCTGTAATGACCTCAGCTGCACCACAGCCGAAGTCATTATATGTGCAATATTACACTTAATCATGAGACTTTGGGCTATCAGTGATGATTGCTGTTGGCTGACTACTTCTTTAGTTACCATGCTTTGAGGTGATGTGATTCCAAGAAAATGAAACATACATGGTGCCAACTCCTACTAAGAGCGCATTCTCAACGAATTAAGCCAGGCTTTACAAAGCCAGTGACCTAAAAATGGCTGACGTACATGAAAGAAAAACCACCTAATCTTTTAATAGTCTCTCCGCCTCTCACACGCCTCCCCACACGTCGTCCCTGCGGGGTACAGTAATTAAATCTCGGCTCCGAACATTAATATTTCCGTGAATATCTCTGGTGATATTATCTCCGTAGATAGTCGATTCATTGCTGCTCTATGGGCCAAATTATTCCTTTTTCGTCTCTGTTTTCAAAGATAATAGAACAGAAGAGCTTTTTTCCTTCGATCGCCTTCAGCCG